GTTTCCCAATGATCCCAGAAGAGAAATTCAATAGCCGGCCGAGGGGCCGCCAAATGGCAGAAATTTGCTTCCAAAAGGCTCCCGGCCAGGATTTGGGCAAAAACGGCCGTTTCCCAATGATCCCAGAAGAGAAATTCAATAGCCGGCTGAGGGACCGCCAAATGGCAGAAATTTGCTTCCAAAAGGCTCCCGGCCAGGATTTGGCCAAAAACGGCCGTTTCCCAATGATCCCAGAAGAGAAATTCAATAGCCGGCCGAAATTTGCTTCCAAAAGGCTCCCGTGTGTAAAAAGCTCCTTTGTGTATAGACTTCTCTGTGTAAAAGCCCCTGTGTGTGTAAAAGCCTGCTGTGTGTAAATGCTTTTGTGTGTAAAAGCTCCTCTGTGTAAAGGCTTCTCTGTGTAAAAGCTTCTGTGTGCAAATGCGTCTGTGTGTGAAAACCCCTCTGTGTAAAGACGTCTTCGAGTAAAAAGTTCTGTGTGAAAAAGCTCCTAGACGTTTGTGTGCAAAAGCTCCTTGGAGTAAAGACTTCTCTGTGTAAAACCTTCTGTGTGTAAAAAGCTCCTTTGTGTAAGGACTTCTCTGTGTAAAAGCCCCTGTGTGTGTAAAAGCTTGCTGTGTGTAAACGCTTTTGTGTGTAAAAGCTCCTCTGTGTGAAGGCTTCTCTGTGTAAAAGCTTCTGTGTGCAAACGCGTCTGTGGGTAAAAAGCCCCTTAGAGTAAAGACTTCTCTGTGTAAAAGCTTCCGTGTGTAAAAAGCTCCTTTGTGTAAAGACTTCTCTGTGTAAAAGCCCCTGTGTGTGTAAAAGCTTGCTGTGTGCAAATGCTTTTGTGTGAAAGCTCCTCTGTGTAAAGGCTTCTCTGTGTAAAAGCTTCTGTGTGCAAATGCGTCTGTGTGTAAAAACCCCTCTGTGTAAAGACTTCTTCGCGTAAAAACTTCTGTGTGAAAAAGCACCTAGATATTTGTGTGCAAAAGCTCCCTAGAGTAAAGACTTCTCTGTGTAAAACCTTCTGTGTGTAAAAAGCTCCTTTGTGTAAAGACTTCTCTGTGTAAAAGCCCCTGTGTGTGTAAAAGCTTGCTGTGTGTAAATGCTTTTGTGTGTAAAAGCTCCTCTGTGTGAAGGCTTCTCTGTGTAAAAGCTTCTGTGTGCAAACGCGTCTGTGTGTAAAAAACCCTCTGTGTAAAGACTTCTTCGCCTGTGTGTGTAAATGCTTTTGTGTGTAAAAGCTCCTCTGTGTAAAGGCTTCTCTGTGTAAAAGCTTTTGTGTGCAAACGCGTCTATGTGTAAAAACTCTCTCTGTCAGGCCTTCTTCGTGTAAAAAGTTCTGTGTGAAAAAGCTCCTAGACGTTTGTGTGCAAAAGTTCCTTGGAGTAAAGACTTCTCTGTGTAAAACCTTCTGTGTGTAAAAAGCTCCTTTGTGTAAGGACTTCTCTGTGTAAAAGCCCCTGTGTGTGTAAAAGCTTGCTGTGTGTAAACGCTTTTGTGTGTAAAAGCTTCTCTGTGTGAAGGCTTCTCTGTGTAAAAGCTTCTGTGTGCAAACGCGTCTGTGTGTAAAAAGCCCCTTAGAGTAAAGACTTCTCTGTGTAAAAGCTTCCGTGTGTAAAAAGCTCCTTTGTGTAAAGACTTCTCTGTGTAAAAGCCCCTGTGTGTGTAAAAGCTTGCTGTGTGCAAATGCTTTTGTATAAAAGCTCCTCTGTGTAAAGGCTTCTCTGTGTAAAAGCTTCTGTGTGCAAATGCGTCTGTGTGTAAAAACCCCTCTGTGTAAAGACTTCCTCGCGTAAAAACTTCTGTGTGAAAAAGCACCTAGATATTTGTGTGCAAAAGCTCCCTAGAGTAAAGACTTCTCTGTGTAAAACCTTCTGTGTGTAAAAAGCTCCTTTGTGTAAAGACTTCTCTGTGTAAAAGCCCCTGTGTGTGTAAAAGCTTGCTGTGTGTAAATGCTTTTGTGTGTAAAAGCTCCTCTGTGTAAAGGCTTCTCTGCGTAAAAGCTTCTGTGTGCAAACGCGTCTGTGTGTAAAAACCCCTCTGTGTAAAGACTTCTTCGTGTAAAAACTTCTGTGTGAAAAAGCTCCTAGACGTTTGTGCGCAAAAGCTCCTTAGAGTAAAGACTTCTCTGTGTAAAACCTTCTGTGTGTAAAAAGCTCCTTTGTGTAAAGACTTCTCTGTGTAAAAGCCCCTGTGTGTGTGGGTAAAGGCTTCTGTGCGTCTCCTCCCTCCAGCTTTCTTTCGGGTCACGCTGTCGTCCAGTTTCAATCTGCAACGTTGTTTTTTGTGGAAGAGTGCAAAATAATGCAAAGAACATGTGAAAGCATCGCGCGTTTAAAAATTGAACATAAACAGCGCACAAAGTGTTGTAATTTACAGCATTTTGCGCTGTCAGATGGCAAGAACCCGCGTAAATACCACAGTTTTAGTCCCCGAAAGTGGCTGAAACACTGTTATTTACAGGGTTTCGTTCACGTCACGATCTTCGATTTTTTGGGAAACGCGTAAATACCAGCGTT